CATACGTCCACAACATTTCCACCCCACAAGGTTTACTTTTCCTTAAATTAGAAAAAAAAAAAATTTTTAATCTCGTTACATGTAATGAAATTAAAAGTACTCGATCAGAAAGAAAATTAAAAGCAAAATTTAAGAGTTGTCTTAAATTTCGATCGTTATAACAAAGTTTATTCATAATGTGTAAAAATATTGAAGTATTTTAAAAGAAAAAGAAAGAAACTTTGGCATAACTTCTTTGCGAACACAGAAATGAGATATCGATATTCAAGTGACATCATTTCTGGTTTTGACATTGATCTTTTTCTGTGCAAGACTTTAATATTTCTTTTGAGTTCCATGATCCTTTAAAAGTCAAGCTCGCGAAGAAAAAAATACTTTTTTGTCAACCATAAACTTACGAGGTGTGATCCCAGTCCATCTATCAGAAATGTCAGCGATGTAAATGGGTTATTTCTCTCTTTATGTGCCCTTTCACAACTGGATTTACAGAAATGAGGTTAGAAAATACCCTTTCCTGTCTTGAAATCCTAATTTTAAATTCAAATCGTCTCTCGCAAAAGATTTGAAAACCAAGACTGGAATATCTTGGGCTGAAAAAGATCATTTATGATTTTGCTTTTCAAAGCTTTGGTGGAATTATTGATATATGCAAATAAAAAATGTTCGAATGCGAGAAATATTTATGAAGGGTGATAAGGAATTGTTCTTGAATATTTTTAAGATCGAAATTTAGATTTGAGTGCAATTTCAGTTCTTTTAAATATAAGAGTTTGCTGTCTCTCTCTCTCTCTCTCTCTCTCTCTCTCTCTCTCTCTCTCTCTCTACGATAAATGAGTTCTGAGGTTGTTCTTAAACAAGCTTAAAATATGCATTACTATAAATAAATTAAAATATTGGAATTGATGCATCGCATTTTAATAAAATTTCCCCAATTAACTCTAAAAATCCTTTTATTTATTTATTTATTTAATTTTTTTTTTCTTTTGAAATTTAATAACTCATTTTTGTGTCTGTTAAAAGGAAATCTTGCAATCAATCCTTTCCGTCTGGCTAGAATGCTCTTATTCTAATTTAGCTTCATACTCGATGTACAATGCAGTTTTCTGACTAATATAAGCAAATTTAAGAGTCATTATATCGTCAAATTAAATTTATCATCAATCAAAATTTCGACCATTTAAAGGTTAGCTTGAAGAGTTGAATTTTAGAATAGATTGAAATGCTACCCTGGATTACAATGCAAGTTCTCATCATTTTTTGAATGTTCCAAGCTACATTTAGTGCGATACCACTGCCAAATTTAGTCATACCCTTTTAAGAATAAGCCCATGTCCGAGAGTTCGTGGGTTCGAACCCCGCCGGCCGATGACTCCCCGTGTAGTTGGTGACTGATGCACGTTAAATCTGTCGAATCTCAAAGTCCTCCATGTTCCCATAACAAATGAATACCTCTGGGGGTACTGGATTGGAGACCGATCGTTCTCTCATTCAGGTCAAAATTACGATCTGTGGATGAATGAATGGATGTATGAATGGGTCCGCCTTATAAAACAGGTGTGACGTATGATGTGGCAGAAGTCGAATTCTTGGCCATAGATGGCGCCACTGAGAAACAAGAATCGCACACTCTGCCTTAAATTCGCTCGGTTTCACCACGCAGGCTTGCCCGTGTGACAAGTGGCATTAGAACCAACCAACCAAGAATAGCAAGGACTTGAAAAGTATATCAGAAGTTGCTTGCTGCTGAATGAGAGGATTCTGATGATGCAGCACATTTTTTAGTAGTTTTTTGATCGTTAAAAATAAAACTTATCGTCATAATATTTGCAGTTTGAGTTATACCATCAAAAAAAATTTGTTTAGCTACGGTGCCCGACCTGTAGCTACTCTTCTTTGATTTTTAATCATTATTAGCATTTGATTATTAGCACTAGATTTTAATAACACGTTTTGAATCTTCATATGACCATTTGAAAAATTATCATGAATAAATATTTTTATTAGTTTCCGACTAGGTAAAGTGATTAAATTTCAACTCAAGTTTTATGTCTGACAAAAATTAAAGTTTCAATAGTTTTTTAGCCGCTACAAAAAAAATAATAACTGTCACCAAGAAGATTTCACAATCAATCAATCGAAATTCTTACCTTTTTCCAACTAGCGAAATAGCTGAACTTGCAACTGCATCTCGATGCTTGGTTGCAATTCGAGTTTCAATCGTTCGAGAATAATTTATCGTCATGTAGACAAATTGAAGTCAAGTTACCGTTAATAGAAATTTCGACCAGATTGAGTGATTACATCTTAATCAGAGTTCGTGTGCGATAATTGGGTCTCTGTGTTCTGTATATGAAGCAATTTTATTGTTTCCCGAGATCTGCAGACAAAACTCATTGCCCTGTTATCGTGAACCTGTTACCGTATTTGTGACATTGAGTCACCAAATCTTAATTTTTCTGTTGGGATTGTGACCTAGAAATTAGGCCGACACCCCTGAACCCTCTACTGTGACGCCTCACTGTCTGCCGACCTTTACGCCTTTGACCTTCGGCGGCCTTTGATGTCAACACATGTTTTTAGTTACTGTACGGTCGCCGTTAGTGTTTAATTATGCTTAAATTTAAGGGGTTAGTCAACTCACTTCAATTCTCTCCTTAAGCAATTTTAGTGTCATTTTTTTAGGGAGTTTAACTTCCACTTCCGGTCGTTTATATAAATACCGCCCATTTTTGGGAGCGGGTAGCATTCGATATTTTGATCCTTTCATAATCTACGATCCTTTAACAGGGATTTTTAATTTTCACCCCCTCCCTCTCTTTGAGAGACGGAGTTTATTTTTGTTTAAATACATGGCGGTCATATTTCTCCGACCCACCTGTGGATGCCTTTTACGGGCTGTGATTGTTTGTTTTTCCCTCGCCATGAACTAAGTGGCTGTTCGATACTCTGATTTTTCTCAGTCACCTCGCTCGCGTAGTGAGCGTTTATTTTGCTTCGTTTTTCTCTCTGTTTGAGGGACGGAACTTCACTCCTTTCTTAATGGCGTAACACCTGCCCGCCGACTCCTCAAGGATGCAGTTTTTCGACAAGAACGAAAATCAATCACCATCTTAAATTTTTTGGATCGCCTTTCCAGAAGCGACATGTTTATTTGTCGACTGCTACTACTGCCAGCCGCCACTGATGCTACTACTAATAGATGAAAAAATGATCCCCAGAAATCTTATCTGCCATTGTTAAAATATATGCCTTGTGACCCTAACTGGACATGCTTGTGATTCTGCTGCCCCAACGATTTTATTGAAAAGAAGTGATCCACATTAATAAACTACCAAAAATCTGAACTCTGGACTTTTCCTTGTGTCTTTTTAAAATTATTGCAGCTAAGCCAAATTTGTTTGATGTCTCCTTTTCTCCAGTGGAGTGACATGAAATTAAATTCATTACCTGCAACTGGAAAATCATTCAATGATGTTGTACAATATAGAAAGAAAAGCATTTATTTGTTAAATACGTCAATCTAAAGTGATAAAATGGCAAAAAAATTCTGTCTGTGACTTGCAAATAATTCAATAATCAATATTTTTTTTATAGAAAATTCAAAAGTATACGATATTATCATTTGATAATAATGCTTCAGCAATAATTTAATTTCCCAAGATTTAAAAAGAAATTAAACAAATAATTAAAAGCCTATCATTTTTAAAATATAATTAAATTAGAGAGACTTAAAGTTTGGGGAATCATAAATTAGATTCTGCCATCTAGAAAAGGTAATTAGCATTTTAAAAACAATAAAGGGAATACAAATTTGGATAGTATTTCAATTTCTATACCCCCAAAGATATTAAAATTTCGGTTATATAACATTCTTAATTTGCATACGAGACAAAAGCAACCTCAGGAAAAATTGATTAGACAATTTTTGGAAAAGTTATTCCATGAAATCTAATTAAAATTGTTTTCATTCCGAAAAAGTAATTCCTTCTATCCTACTTAGAGATTTATTAATAATAGAAGTCAAATAAATTTGTTTAGAAATGTTTGTGCATGTTTTCTTTTTCTAATTTCTCAGAGTCGAACCTTTGGCAATCCAAACCACTTTCCTCCAAATTCCTCTATTAACTGAAGTTAATTCTAAAAATGTTGTTTTTTCACACTCTTGGTTTTTTTTCTTGTTTCTTTGTTTAAGTTAGTGATTGCCTTGTGATAATTTATCGCCACAATACTCGAAACCTGTTCTCCTATTCATTGAATACGGTGTATAAATTCTAAGGAATTTCATTTTAGACAATAATATATTAAAAAGGTTTTAATTAAGCACAGATCGGTGGTTCAAATTAATTAACAAAACATATTATTTTAAAAACAAAACAAACTTTAATAGATTATGGTGTGAAGATACGAAGATAGTCAGTATTATAAGGGCTGACATTTCCCCTTCAACATTCATCTAATCAAATCAAAATTATAATGACACACAAAGAAAAATATGTAATTAAATTAATGGGAGAGCGCCATCTCGTGGCATTCCGCGACACTCCCCACCAAATATAAATAATTTAAAATTTACAAAATAGTAAACAATTTACCAGACTTGACATTTCAGCTTCTCTGGATATATAAAATAATCATTCATTAAAAAAAGTACAACATAAGAAAGAATTACAAATATATTAAAAAGTTCCACACACACAAAAAAATTTTTTCAATTACTAATTTCCATATTATATAAAAACTGAATAGGCCTTCTAATAATTCCAGTTCGAGTTTTTATTGAACAAGAACGGACCTTGCCATCCCTTCCATGAAAAACTTCAGTTATTCTGCCCAATGACCACATGTTTCTAGGATAAAGTTCCTCGTGAATTAGCACTATGTCATTAGGTTTAAACTCTTTTACATTCGAGACCTTTTGGCTCGTGTTAGCTGGTCTTAAATTTAACAAGTAACCTTTTCGCCAACATTTCCAAAAATGATTCAACAGATTCTGTTGATGTTTAAATTTTTTTCACAATTGATTCTCTCGATCCCAATAGATCGACCTTAGAAATTCTGGTAGGAGGGAGGGATAGCAAGCGTTTACCTACTAAAAAATGAGCTGGAGTGAGTGGAGATGGTTCTGAGGGGTCAGTATATAAATAAGTGATGGGTCTGGAATTCATCATGGCTTCTATCTCGACAAACACTGTTTCGAGTTCGACGAGAGAGAGCGATGATCGACCAACAATTTTTCTGAGCGTAATTTTGATAGTTTTTATCATCCTCTCCCAGAATCCTCCCCACCATGCTCCACGCTCAACAATAAATTTCCACTGAATGTTGTGAGCAGAAAATAAGTTTTTAACAGATGGATCTGAAATACATTTCCATAATTTTTGAAGTTCAGTATCTGCTCGTTTGAATGATTTTCCATTATCAGAATATATTGTTGAACATAATCCTCGACGAGATATAAATCGCCGAAAGGCTAACAGGAATGATTCTGTGTTCAGGGAATGTACAAGTTCTAAATGTACAGCGCGTGTGACGGCGCAGGTGAACAAAAGCAAATAATGTTTATTCTTGTTTTCGTTGGAAAAAAAGGGACCTGCATAGTCACATCCCGTTATAGCAAACGGTGGTGATTCCAGAATGCGATCTGGAGGAAATGGAGCCACATCTTGTTCTCCATGACGAGCACTATATCTCTTGCAAATGATACATCTACCAAGTAGAGATTTGATTCTTCGTCTCCCTTTTATGATCCAAAATTTTTCCCGCACTTGAGTTAGTGTTGAGTCTACTCCCGAGTGCAAGACCTGTTCATGGGCATTGAGAATCACCAGTTCTGCATAACGACACTTGGACGGTAGTATCCATGGATGTTTAGTGGATTCTAAGCAGTCAGCAAATTGTATCCTGCCTCTTAGTCGCAAGAGACCATCTTCATCGAGTTCTGGATACAATGAGTAAATATTCGATGTTTTGTCCATAGCTCTTTGATGAGTCAAATCTGAAATTTCTTTATGAAAATAGTTCATTTGAGTATTTTTTACCCAAAACCTTTCAGCAGTCTTTTATTCAAAAGCAGTCAATGGTCCATGATATTTTTCAGACGAAGGATTGGAATTATGGACAAATCTGTGCACCCATGCTGTTATACGATGGACTTTACTTAACTCGCTATATTTATTTAAATCAAGTAATTGGTGAGAGTTCTGCAAATTATCTTCACCTGTAGCAGTTTGAAACACATTGAGGTGTTTTCTCATTTCATTGTTTACCAATTGTTCGTCAGGCACAACAATTGACCCTTTGGGCCACGATATTTCATTCTCGAGAAGCCAACTTGGCCCGTTTTGCCACAACGAACTGTTGAAAATTGTTTCCGCTCGTTCCCCTCTAGACAAAAGGTCAGCGGGGTTTTCACTGCCACTACAATGATGCCACTGATTGGGATCGCAAATGTTTTTAATTTCCGCTACGCGGTTGGCAACAAACGGCTTCCATACATTCGGAGATTTCCTTATCCAACATAACGTGATCATAGAGTCACACCAAAAATGTATATTGTCACATAGCTTAGGGAGAATGGATTTAAGATACTTTGCCAATTTGGCTGCAGCAACAGCTCCCATTAACTCACATCTAGGAAGAGACAGCGATTTTAGAGGAGCGACCCTGCCTTTTGCCATTATAAAGCTAGTTTTAATTTCTCCAGTTTCATCTATATATCGAAAATAAGCTACGGCTCCGAACGCTCTGGGGGTGGCATCGCAAAATATATGTGCAGTCAGTTGTGTATAATTGGTGCTCTGGAAGAATTTCCTCGGAAATTCTGGATTTTTCAAATATTTGGTTTCAGAGCACCACTCCATCCATCTTTTATTTAAATCAGGAGGAAAGATTGTATCCCAGTCTAAACCTAACAGCCAGGAGTCTTGTAGTATGATTTTAACTCTAACAATGAAAGGTTGTAAGTAGCCAACAGGATCAAATATTTTAGCTACTGATCTTAACACAGTTCTTTTCGTCTTACCTTCACTAATTTCAATTGATTCCTTAAGAGAATCAAAATTTAGTTTGACTAAGTCATTTTTGGGATCCCGTATCATGCCCAAAAATTTAGTTTCTTTATCAAAATCATCTGACCTCTAATTTTTGCCATTATCCATTTCTTATTTAATTCCTCTGAATTTGTTTTCAATTTCCTTAAATTCATACCCGCATCCTCAAAAATATTTACTGCATCTACAGACAATCGGTATGCATCCTCTACAGTTTTTCCTCCATGATAAAGATCATCTACATAAAGGGACGAATTAAGCATTTCAAAACATTCAGGTTTTTCCCTCTTATATTTTTTGATATGATATTTAATCGTAGCTGCTAAAATAAAGGGACTAATTACTGTACCGAATGGGGCCCTGCACATGCGCAGAATACTGTTAGATTCATTATTATCCCCAAACCAAGGAAACTAAAATAATCTCTATCCTCCTCAGCAATCCCAATTTTTAGAAAAGCTTTTTCCAAATCTCCACAAAAGCTCACCTCTGGTTCGCGAAATTTTAAAATTACATCAAGAACTTTAGGGTTCAAATTTGGGCCAGTTTCGAGACATTCATTTAAAGATTTATAATTTTCCTGTTTCGAGGAGCAATCGAAAACGATTCTGCATTGTGAAGTCTCACTTTTTTCGGGCAAAACTTCCCTGTGCGGCATAAAATACTGCGAAGCATTAATGTCACTTGTACATTTTTCAACTATATCTTCCCGCAACTGCTCTTCAATAATTTCCCGATATTTTTTCATGATTTCTGGCTTTTTTTTGTAATCTTTGCTTTAAAAATTTAAAACGCCTACTAGCAACATTAAAATTATTTCCTAATTCCTCAGTATTAGATATCCACAATAATTTACATTCGTATCGGCCGTTTACAAACCGTAAATCCTTTTCAAATAAGTCTATTAAATTATTTTCGCTTTGCTTACATTCATTATATTCCTCATTTATGCCCATTGAGTCAAGTTCCCAGAACACGTGAAGATCATTTAATGTTGTGGTATTTCCCACGACTATCGATAAATGTTTTGATTCGTTTTGATTTATTATATTTCTTTCCGAACCTACCAAGAGCCATCCAAACAAAGAATTTATGGCTTGCAGATGTCTGTTTATTCTCCGCCGAGAACTTAAAACTATATCCCAAAACTTATCGGCGCCAATTAATATTCCTACTCGAGTCATTTCTTCCTTGTTTACATTTAATTCAGCCGGCGACATACCTAAACTTTTCATTTTCTCAATTGCGTTATGGGTGGGGCTTTTTATTTGGCAAGCGGTTATCATGTTAGTGACTAAGCATTCGACTTTTATTTTATTTTTTCCAGTCCTGTCTTTTAATTCTATTGTGACTACAGGATAATTCTTTATTATTGGTTTTAAAGCTCCAAACGCAAAAACTGACAACTTTTCATTTCGAATAGGTTTTAATTTTAAGGATTCCGCTAAGCTATCTAAAATGAAGCATTTTTCACTTCCTTGATCGAGAATCAGTCTCGTTACTTCAGTTTTGTTTTCATTACAAGCCAAAACTGTACACGTTTGTAGCAAAGTACTTTTTGAAACAGAGATATTACAATGAGAAATTAAAGCGTTAGAGTTAATATTTGATACAGACGGTTCATTATTTGAATGGGAAACAATTGATATATCATATTTTCAAATACATTTTGTTCCGGACATTTTTTTTCAAAATTTACTTTTTCTTCATTATATTTTAAACAAACAGATTCATGATGATTTCTCCCATTACATTTAGCGCATGCATTTTTATCTCTACAAAATCTGCTAATATGAAATTTTTTGAAACATTTAAAACAACGATTATTTTCTTTTAGTACGGCAATTTTTTCTACTGATTTTTTATAGCATTTAATAGAGTCATGAGATTTATTGCAGAAGATGCATGACTGTCTCGTAAATGCAGTAAATGCACTCACTGTGGGTGTATTTCTGTTATTGTATTTTTTATTTACTGTTTTGGGATAACTTTGATTATAATTTATTTCATTTCCTCCACGCGCAAAAGAAGTGCTTTCGCGACATTCAACTTCTTTTTTTAAGAACATGAGGAATTTAGAGATATCGATATCCCCTTCATCTCTTTGTCTATTAAATTCCAAAATTAAATCGTGAGGTAAAATCTTTTGCAAAATAGGCATTAACAAATGTCCGAAGGAGTTTGATGCGACTTTAATTGCTTCTAATTTTCTTATTGAAATTTCTAGCTCATCATATATTTTACGCAAAGCTTTTATGTTTGAACTACTTTTAACTTCTTCTAAACTTAATATTTTATTCATAAATGCATTTATAATTATATCTCTTTTTCCGAATCTATCTTTAAGAATTTTTATACAATTGTCGTAATTAGTGCTGGATAATTCGAAACCGGAAACAACGTTAGCAGCTTGTCCAGTTAAATAAGATTTAAGGTATGAAAACTTCTCTTCCTTTGATATATATTCATTTTTGTCTATTGAGCAGGAAAAACTATTCCAAAAGCTATTCCATTGTTTTGGATCACCTGAAAACGGTTCTATGACAAGTTTCGGTAATTTAATTAAGCATTGATTTTTTAAATGTTCACTTAAAGATGTGTCTAAACTTCGATCATGTGATTCATTTAAGGTTAGATTTACTTTACATTTAGTTCCTAGATACCGAATATTCTTTTTGAGTACTTTAAACACTTTGTTTTATATTGTTTGTCACTTCTTTTCATTGTTTGTCACTTCTTTTTCAACCTGTTCGAGGGTTAGAGAACTTTCGATTACGGAATCAAGTTCTTTTAATTCGCTAGGTTTTTCAATTAAATTTTCGTAATCGTCTCTAAGATCATGCTCATCAATTTCGTCCGCTGATTTTAATTTCGCATCAATTTGATTTATTAACTGCGTAGTAAGTTTCCTTACAGTTGTTCTTTTAGCCTTCGCGATTTCGATTGCAGACATTGTTATAACAGAAATTCACCCACTATATATATACAAAATTACGAATGATGAAAAAATAATAAAGGCCTACCTTTTATTCCTTGACTTATTAGGGCATGATATGTTTATCCAAGATAAATTTTGCCTTGAGCACCATGAAAAAGGTTTTAATTAAGCACAGATCGGTGGTTCAAATTAATTAACAAAACACATTATTTTAAAAACAAAACAAACTTTAATAGATTATGGTGTGAAGATACGAAGATAGTCAGTATTATAAGGGCTGACATTTCCCCTTCAACATTCATCTAATCAAATCAAAATTATAATGACACACAAAGAAAAATATGTAATTAAATTAATGGGAGAGCGCCATCTCGTGGCATTCCGCGACAATATAAGAGCTCAAACGAATTTGAGGATATACCGGAAGACTCACGATCACAGTAAAAAAATATATGAAAACCAGTATGGTGAAATTCGGAATCCCGGAAAAAACTCCCCAAACTCAAAACTTCCCTTTTCCGTGGAAGATGATTAGAGATGTGGCAACTGAATTTGGTGAGAACGCTCCTTGAGTACATCCTTGCATTTACTAGCCAAAAGCTGGCCAATCAAATTCTATATCACCTTTCTAAATTCGCAATTGCAATTTTTTTTTCTTGCATGCAACAAGAATGTCAACATTGTAGAATTGAACGCAGGCATGGGTGTTTAAAGGAGCCTTCCAATTAAATATTTAAAAATAATATTTTATAAGTTATGACGTACATGATTAGCTTAATAAATTTTATGTCCTGCAGTGAACTGATCGTTAAGACACGGTTCCCAGCAAATCAACTGAAGCCAAGCATAACTGGCTGCAGTCAGTGTGCGGGTGTGTGACCACTTGGATTAGTCTGTGTAGGGTGTGGGGTATTGATCCTCGTTAAACTGTTCTACCGTAAAGTGTTCGACTTCGCGAGCAGATCGTCGGGCTATCGAAGCGGGGGTACCATTCTCTCTGCAGAGGATCAAAATTGTGATAGTAGCATGTTTTCGG